CGGCTGTGGGCTGAGAGTCTGTAATTTTCTCATTACTCCGTATTACCTCATGCACTCTGTTGGACGGTGTAGGTGTCTCTCTGCCCTTTGACCTTTGCCAACCTCTGACCCTGTTTCTGTCTCCCGTCCCCTCTGACGTATACCAACAACTCCAAGATACGCTCACAGTAACGCACGCTGACGGGGCTTTAAGAACATTTGGACAATGTTTGGACAGAAGTCGTTCAAACGAATGGACGGAGGGATGTTGAGCCTCCACAGCGCCCCTCGGTGTAGTGTAGTTGAAGCGACGTGGCGAACGCGTGCGCAAATATTAGCTCTTAATTACTGTTTACAGAATAATTATAGGTTCGTTACGCAGTTTCCTCTTCTCTGATGAGCGTTGGATGGAGTCCAGCGCTTCCCTGCAGATGTCTACATCAGTCTGCATCAGTCTACATCAGTCTACATCAGTCTGCATCAGTGTGCTGGGTTAACATCTGACCAACGAAGTTCTGGTAGTGTTTGATTACGAGCAGTAAAAAAGGCCGTGACTCATTATTTTATTATTATTTTATTAATATGTCCAGATCAGACGGGAGAGAAACATGGATTATCCTAATTTATGATGGAGTTTAGTTTAGTTTAGTTTCATTGGGCAATAAATAATATATATATAGTATATACATATATATATATACATATATATAATATATATACTATACCATACTATACTATATTAAACTATACTATACCCTATTATACTATACTATAGTAAACAGCTTTTTGTTTTTCCAAATTATGCAAGTAATCCCTGCACATTATACAGTTGAACAGAAAATGAAGAACAAGAGAAATTTAACCTGTGAATCTCTAGTGAACACAGGGAACTGTGGGTATTGCAGTTTTCCACCCAGGACAGAATGCTGGTGATTTAAGACCAGTGTCCTCTGGTGGACAGACCCTTTGACCAGTGGGAATAATTCTTTGTTCTGTGGAGGTTTGTCCCCTCGGCTTCATTTCCTCCGGTCCAGAACATTGTTCTTCTCACACACAGTGAACAGTGAGTTTGATCAGTACATTTCAGCAGCATGAAGTGACCCACTTTAAAACCATGACAGCAGCCCAGCCCGCGGTACACGAGAGCGCGTCGTAAAGTTGGACTCTAACATGCTCCAGCAGTGAGGAGAACATGGGACCCCTCCAAAAAAAAAAACCTGCTTCCTCCCAACTCTAATCCCCCGATGTTTGATTTCTCCGATCCTTAAGTGCTGCGTGACGATGGCGCTGTGAAATGCGAGCATGCGGCGGAAATGTGTCATTTCTCACGTTGTCAGCGTCGAGCTGAGCATCAGCAGATCCACGGATCGACTGGACGACCCCCCCCCCCCCCCCCCCTCTGCGCCGCAGCTAAACTAAACAGCCGGAGGAAGAAGAAAAAAAAGTCTCCGAGCCGACGGGCCGCGCTCATAAAGCAGCATTTTCTCACGCCTAAAGCAGCTGATGTCATCACTGAGCTGCGGCCAACGCTGGAGTGAGCCGTGCGCTGAGGATGATGAAGAGAAATGGCTCTGGCTTCGGTTCCGCCTTGGAATTTTGGAAACAATGTTGGACTGTGAAGTGGTGGACGTTTTTACACTGTGTCACAGATTCCTGTGTGAGGTCCCGAGTGTGTGTGTGTGTGTGTGGGCTTTGTTTATGCAGCCTGATGATGAAGACAAGTATCTCAACAATCCAGCTCCACAGCCGGTGCCAGTGAGCTCTGATTGGTGCTGAGGTTGTTGTTTGTTTGTTTGTTTGTTTGTTTTTGTTTCCAGTGTTTTTCTGATGGAAAGACGATTTTGTTTTTTTTTCCCATTTTGAGTTTTCAAAATTCTTTTCCCTCCGAACAGCTAATCTCGCAGGCGATGTTTGAGCTGGTGGTAAACTGGAGCTGCTCCGTGATTGGTCTTTGATTACAGACTATTTCCCACTCATTTGTCAGATGAGTTTGCCGTGTGTTTGGTCAGACCTCCTGGGATTATTCTGACCAGGGGTCAGTCAGTCTGTGGGTGTCCAGTGGTAAAGACGGAAACCAGTGTTTGATTGATGTAGAATTACAATAATCTCGTTCTTTTTTTGATCGAGAACATATCGATAGAATTGGTTTGGTTGTTTGGTTTTTTTTTGCATTTGAAAAGGTTCAAATTTGTGAAAATAATTTATTACACCAGGCAGAGATGAAGTAAATCTGAAGAGAAATAATTGAATTTGATATTAATTGAACAGATTTTTTTTTAAAGTGATGTAACGTCCACGTCCACCGCTCTCTCTGTCTGTCTCTCTCTCTCATTGCCTTTGACCATGTCCGTGCAGACGAGATGAGTTGTGTGTGACAGACTCCAGCTCTGCACTCTCGCCCCCCACCCCCACATTCCCCAGATCTCCCTCCTCTCCTCACTGCATCACGGCCTAATTGAAGCCAGAACCTGGGAATGTCCTGCAGGTAGGACGGCAGACCGCGGTGGAAAACAAACCAGATCCCCAGCACTGCGAATTCCGTCACGTCGTCTGACTTCCTGCAAGCTGCGAAGAACGAAGTCTGGTCGGCGAAACTTTCAACACCTCGTCCATGTTCACAGTACACACACTGTCAGTGTCGCGCGTCGGCATGGACTGTTTTGACACCTGAAGCTGTTGGTCCTGTTCACAGGAAACGTAACAGCAGAAATGATTTGTTGTCAAATCAAATATAAGAAAAAAAACGTATCATATTGTATTTTATTAAATAGATACATTGGACTTTTTTTGGCTGTAGCTAACATTAGCTCTGGTGTCAGAGCTAACAGAGGGGGTCGGGGGGGGCGGCCCCCCCCAGACAGCACGTTGGCCTT